TAAGGAGAAAACTTCAACAAAAGAATAAACAATCAGATCTTAATGAGATCTTTGAAGTAAATGCAACTTATATTTGTTTCTAATTTGTTTCATACAGTTTTTTTTTACCTCTTATACTTTATTGTGGATTTAGTTTGCATTCAAGGAAATGAAAGTGGTCCGAAAGTTTCAAAGGCATGGGCCTCTTTATACCACCACAATGTTAAAACAAACATTGGTGGTTCAGGGCTTACTATTACCATTATGGCTCTGGGTGCATCCTGATGAATATAGACATAAATTTGGGACATCTTATCGCAAAGGGCATGGAGGTCATTGCATCAAGGTATTGTAGGAACAAACCAACACTACTCCAGTCTGTCGACATGGAATTAAGGCATAGAAAGAGCGTACCTTTCCACCAAAGGTTCATGCATGAAAACAAACAAGAGGCTATCTTCATTATACTTCTGCACTCGGTAAACGACCAGTTTGTCTTATCTCTAATATCAGCCTATGAATCGGATGGATCCTCCAATACCCAAAAAATTCTATTCTTGTAATATCTGTATATAACTTCATAAAATCAGACTTAAAATTAAAACAAGCACATGAAAAGTGTTTGCATTAGCCTGATAAATTATGTTAATTGTCAACAGATTTCATAATAAATCAATTAATCAAGATATCATGCAATGATTCTACAAATACCTCAGCCACCAAGGGCGTTTCATCCATTCTCACAGAACAAGATGCAGTTAAGGCCCCAATCTGATCCTTAAGTGTTCCACGTTCAGGCACTGTTACCGTAATTGCAGAAGGCAATGTGATCCCATCAGTGCTGACGACAGTCACAATCATGGTCCTTATCGTTGTAGAAGGTAATGGAAGAGATAGGTAAATAAAAGGGTCAAAGGTGATAGAAACCTTCTTGCAAAAAGAGCAAATCATTGTCGATCTGAACTGGCCCTGCACAACAGAAGGAAATAAAATTTACTTTCAAAAGTGAGAACTGATGAACTATAGGAAATATAGAATTGTTTTTTGCTTCCTAATTACAATATTGTTATTTCCTTTGACAAATCACTAAACCGTGTTTTAAACCTCACATGCAGGGTGGCTATCCACCGTTCAATAAAATGTGAGTTCAGTGGCAGCTAGTAGCCAGGTCAACACACAATAACCACTAGTATTTCAATACACCAATCCCTTATTTCTTTGATAGTAATTTGGCATAAAAGAGAAAAAAAAATCTCTTTTAGGAATGTCTATTTGATTATTTCTATCAACATCTTCTATGAATCATGATACAGAAAACATAGGAAGCACATAGCCCAGAATGATGTGTTAAAAACCCAACAGGACAAAATTCTTAGATAATAAGAAAAAACCGCATAAGCCTTACTTGGCACAAATCAAATACTATTGAGTCATTGCGAGCAAGATTATTTCGCCAATACTCTTCAGCCACTTCTTCATCTGGACGGCCATCTGCATCCTTAACTTCATGATATAGCTTGCGTTTTACACGATTAAGATCTTCATGCAGTCCATCCAACAAAAGAGCAAGCAGTTCCTGCAAGCCAAAAACTTCAAGATTTTATAAGATTATTTCATCTCAAGTAACAAGAACGAAAATTCATCAACCAAAATAGATGAAAAAGGAAATAGCAATAGTCATATGTTTCAAAAAATCAAAAGAAGTGGGGAAGTTGAAATATTAACTTGAGAATCATGCTGCATATAACCACTAAACTGAGGAGCAAAGTTAGTTAGTTTAATCTTGAACAATCTTGGTGCCACAGGTGATGCTCCAGGAACCCATAGCATTCTAAGTAAATCTCCAAAAGCTAAAGCTAGTTCTCCCTAAAAAAATTGAGCATCGGAGAAAAAAAATTAATACAGAGCAAAATTCATTCATAGAATTGACAATAACATGAAAAGAAACAAAAAACCACATACATTCACTCCCAATGGATTTTCATAATTTATCTCTTTACGATAATCTCCAAGGAAAAAATCAGCAAGCTTTGGGGTGTGAGCCAAACACTGAATGGCACTATTCATAAAACAGGTATTTCCAAGATTATGTAATCCTGTCAAGCCCAAAGATTGAACTGTTCTAGAGCTACTTCCAGGAAAATAGTTGTTTGTTGTAACGTAGGGGATAACATTGTCAATGCTTCCATCCATCATAACAGGGCCACTGTTGGAAGAACATTCCATCTGAGAGCTATCTGAAATCATGCCATTGCTATGACTACCGCTTATTGAGTCAGAAAGTCGTGTACTTGTAGCTCCAGAAGAAACTGCATAAACATGGAGATGAAAAAACCTGACTTCAAGCATTCAATCTTCAGAACTAACAATAGGTCTTAAAAATATAGTTCTAAAATTTAAAATTACAAGGTTCATGGAGTACCATAAACTTTAAATATCTTTAACAGTTAAATAAAAAGAAAATACAGAAGAACAAAGTTGAAACAGGGACTACCACTTTTCCAGGTTGACCAGGAGAATCATTTGACACCCTTGCTTTGTCATTTATCAAAAGCTGGGTTGTCTGCCCAGAGAAGTCCCAAATATACAACTGCACCGTCCATAATAATAAAATCAGACATAACATAACCAAAGGAACATGGACAAACTTATAGTCATTTAATAAACTAATTGTTAGTTAACTCACTGAGTTACGGTTGGGAACATTTCTTAACAATGGCCAAAGACTTCCCAAAAAAGAAAACAAACAAATCACTAACTGAACCTTTCTGCTTATCTTTGCTATTAGTGAACTGGTTTCCCATGAAACAAATATCCTAAGTTGGAGGGGGAACAAATCTGGCAAACAATCCTCTGCATAGAAGAGTCTCCCAAAATCCTTCACTGCATTATTAGAATCATTATACCTACAAGAAGAGTAGATGAACCAACAAGTGCCCTTCTTATTTTCTTTACAATCTCTACAAACTTTAGATCAGAATCATTCCTTTTCTGCAATTTCTGAGAAGCTTGATTCAAAAAACTACCTGTTATGGTGTCAACAGGTGGAGCCTATGATCAAAGCTCACAAACTTCATCAATTTCTTCTAAACTCTCATATTCCAGTGAAACTCACTTCAATTGAAAACGCAAACAACAATCACATCTCACCAGAATTTGAAGCTTGGGAACAACAAGATCAACTTCTACGTGCATGGTTTTAATCTACCATTTCTTGCGACATACTTCAACGTGTCATTGGCTGCCAAAATTCATGGATGTTGTAGGATATAAAACCCATACATACTATCAGCAGCACTTCTCAGCGAAGCTCTCTCAACTTTGATATATGCTCAGGCACACAAAACTGGAGAATTGCAAGAATTCAGTTTCGGAGTTTTTGCTACGAGTTCAATCATTGATTGGTGCAATGAATGCGATTGGTGAACCTGTCTCTCAACGCGAACACCTAGATGTGATTCTCGAAGGTTTGCCTCAAGTTTACGAATCCACTATCAGCTTCACCACTGATAAGGCACCGTCTCCATCGATGAAGTCCAAACCCTTCTTTTGGGTCACGAGTCACGTTTGGATCGATTCGCAAAAACACGACCACTTCTGCAAATGCAAATCTCACCACATCCTCTATTCTATAGCATCAAACTCACCCGTCTACTCAGCTGATCCTCAAATTAACCAGCTCTTTTTGTAAAGAGTTGTTTAAGCTGAGGGGCACCACTTTGGCCGTGATTTCATCTTACCATCCACAGTCAGATGGTCAATCAGAAGTCCTAAACAAATGTTTGGAGCAGTTTGAGGTGTTTTACCGTTGATCAACCTCGAAAGTGGTCCAAAATGCTCTCCTAGGAAGAATTTTGGTACAATTCTTCTTTCCACAATCGCATTGGAATGACCTCTTTCAAAGTGGTATATGGAAGAGATGCACCAGCATTAATCAAGTGGCTATCCCTACTGATCTGTCGTCTCTGCAGTAATTATGCAGGAATGATTGAGGACAACGGATATTGATGTGGCTCAACCCATGCAAAATTTGGCCAAGGCTAAGACCAATATGAAGAAATATGTGGACAAAAAACATAGGCTAAGTCGAATTTGAGGTAGGAGACAGGGTGTTGGTTATGCTCTACCCATATCGACAACACTCTATATTCATCTTGTTTTTCACGTGTCGCTCCCCAAGCCCTACAAGGGACCATAACTCACAGTCTCACAATACATGTCACTGCCATTGCTGACCACAGAAGAAGTTGCAAGCGAAACCATGACTCACACTACATGTCACTACCATTGCTTTAGCTGTTTCAGAAACAACATGCGAGGACTGGGACCCATTACATATCAAATTTTCTTCCCTTAACCTTGAGGAAAAGGTTATTTTCAATAGGGGCAGAATTGTTAGGGAAAAGGTTGGCACTAGTGGAGCTAATGATGACAACAATGCAGAGAATCCAATGGAAGATAAACCAAATGATGAAAGGAAGGATGATCCAAAAAATGTGGAACTGAAGCGCAGCATGAGAGAGAGAAAACGTAACAGAAAATATGGGAACAAGTAAGTATATAAGGGGGGTCAGAGGGTAGGGGTACGTGGGTGGGGGGTGGGGGTTGGAATAGGTGAAAATTGTCCATTATTATTCTGCTTCGGGTTCACAACCCTTTCACATGGTAGCCAGTATTTCCATATTAACAACATGTGTCTACTCCAATATGGTAGTTATGTGTACTGAACAAACATTATCAGTGAAGGTTCATACAAGCCTATATGCAGAGGATAAATGGGAAAGCACTTTTCATTACAGACTATATGGCACTGAAAGAGGAAAGAATTACAGAATAATTTATAAATTAACAGGATTACATATAAACTTTACCCAGATATACTCTTTGGCAGTTAAAAAATAACAGTATCTCACTGCATTTTTTTGATCTGATGGTGTGCTTAGGAAGAGTAATATTATTGAATCAAATAGAATTCGAGAACATAAAAAAAAATCACACACACATCATTAAATATGAAAGTTCTAATCTGTCAAATCACTTCTGCGTCTCAAAATCTCCACACCTAAGTAATCAAGCGGACCCGGAATTGGCACATGAGGCTTTCCAACCTTCACACGAACAGCAGATATCTCTTTGTGAATTTCCAAAGTGGAGATTGCAATTTTTTGGGCCACTGACTCCAGAAGATTTTGAGACGGTCCTTCAATAACTTCCTTAGCTATACTGCATCAACCAAGAGTGTATGTTTAGTTTAACATTGAAAATGAAAAGCTTTACAAACTTATGTTTGACCCCAAATAATTACTCTTATTTTGGGAACAAAGGTTATATTCGAATAAACAACTAAATTAAACGTTGATCATATAAGTGCTTATGCATATGAACAAAAGATAAAACAAAGTCAAACTCTTTTAAAAAAGCTCCAAGTTGTTTTCATAAGTTATCCTCAAGAGTTTATAGAAACAAACTTGAAACAAGTTATATATGTGTCATAGCCTATTTCTATAAGCTCTAAATAATTTCATAAGTGCTTATGACAGTATATAAAACCAAATAAATCAAAACCAAATTAAGCACAAATCATTCATAAGTTCACTCAAAATATGGTGACTGACCGATATATTTCAACATAACTAAAAGAATCAGACAAGTCATCAGATTTTCCAGCTGGTTTGAGATCCATCCAAGCATCTACATCTACAAAAAACTTCTGCCCCAACGTCTTTTCTTCCTTCAATGCTCCATGAAAACCATAGAAACTCAATCCCTTTAGAATCAGTTTGTCTCCATCTATTAGTGGATCAACACCTTCCATTTTGTGCTGCAATTAAACAAATTCCTAATTAACAAGCTTATATCAAAATCCTGAGAGTGCAGAAAACAACTTAGACAAAAAAAAATACCCTCAATTACTAATAATAATGGAAGAAAATGACGATGAAATTACCTGGAACAGGGGAGCGAGGGTCGCAGTGGTGGCGACCGTGAGTGCGGAGGAGTTGCGAGCGTTGTTTTGCTAAGGCGTTGGTAATTGTGGCTAGGTCAAATTTTGGAAGAGAAATAACTTTTACTTCAACTCTCTCTTGTTCTTTCAACTCTCTCGTCTCCGCCACTCATCTTTGCTTCTCGAATTCAACTCTCTCTTGTTCTTTCTGTAAATTGTAATTGTCTACCCACGGAAGGTTTATGGAGAAAGGTTTATGTTCCAAAGTCTGGAGCTTAGATCTGGAGGTGACGTGAAATTTGGAGGGAATCAGAAGGGCAAAATCATTGAATCTGGCACTACTGGAAATGGTAACCTTCCCTGTATTACTAATGTTTTACTTGTAGAAGGATTAAAGCATAATTTATTATTGTCCATAAGTCAATTAAGTGACAATGGTTATGACATAGTCTTTAATAAAAAATGTTGTAAAGTTATTAGTCAAAAGGATGGCTCAATCTTATTTAGTGGAAAGAGGGAGAACAACATTTATAAAATAAATCTTTCAGAACTTAAGGTTCAGAATGTTAAATGCCTCTTGTCTGTTAATGAAGAGCAATGGGTCTGGCACAGAAGATTGGGACATATTAATATGAGACGTATATCTCAGATTAATAAACTTAATCTTGTCAGAGGACTTCCTAAGTTGAAGTTCACCTCAGATGCTCTCTGTGAAGCATGTTAAAAAGGGAAGTTTTCAAAATCCTCTTTCAAATCAAGTGAAGGAACCAGAAGCAACACCAGATGCAATTCCTTTGACTTCTCAGATGAACAACTTAAACATTTTTGAAGAATCAACTGTTAGAGGATCATCTTCCAGAATCAAAGCTTCTCATCCAGAGAATGTGATCATTGGAAAGAAGGATGAACCTATCAGAACAAGATCCTTCCTCAGATCATCTGAAGCATCATTATTTGGATTGGTGTCAGTAATTGAACCAACTTATATGGATGAAGCTCTGCAAGACAATGACTGGATTATTGCCATGCAAGAAGAGCTAAATCAGCTCACTAGAAATGATGTGTGGGACTTAGTTCCAAGACCAAAAGGATTCAACATAATTGGAACTAAATGGGTCTTCAGAAACAAGCTTAATGAGAAAGGAGAAGTTGAAAGAAATAAGGCAAGGCTAGTTGCTCAAGGTTACAGCCAGCAAGAAGGAATTGATTATACAAAGACTTATGCTCCTGTTGCAAGGTTAAAGTCTATTCGTTTACTCATTTCTTTTGATGCATAATATAACATCACTCTATATCAGATGGATGTTAAAAGTGCCTTTCTAAATGATATTATAGAAGAAGAAGAAGTTTATGTTCACCAGCCTCCTGGTTTTGAGAGTGAAAATTTTCCATAACATGTTTTTAAACTAAAGAAATCTTTTTATGGTTTAAAACAAGCTCCCAGAGCTTGGTATGAGAGGTTAAGCAATTTTCTTCTGGAGAAAAACTTTATCAGAGGCAAAGTGGACACAACACTCTTTTGTAAAACATTTAAGAAAGATCTTCTAATTTGTCAAATATATGTGGATGATATTATATTTGGATCTACCAATACTATGCTGGGAAAGGAGTTTGCTCAATGTATGCAGGCAGAATTTGAAATGAGCATGATGGGAGAACTGAGATTCTTTATGGGAATTCAAGTCAACCAAACTCCAGAGTGCACTTACATTCATCAGACCAAATATGTTAAAGAGCTTCTGAAGAAGTTTAACATGACTGATAGTAAGATGGCAAAGACTCCTATGCATCCAACTAGTACTCTTGGTAAGGAAGAGGTAAGTAAGAAAGTATATCAGAAACTCTATAGAGGTATGATATGATCTCTTCTCTACTTAACTGCTTCTAGACCTGACATTTTGTTCAGTGTATGCTTGTGTGCAAGATTCCAATCAGATCCTAGAGAATCTCACTTAACTGCTGTTAAGAGGATTCTAAGGTATCTGAAAGGTACTACTAACGTGGGTCTGTGTTACAGAAGATCTGATAAATATACATTAGTTGGATTCTGTGATGCTGACTATGTTGGAGACAGAGTAGAGCGTAAAAGCACTTCTGGAAGCTGTCAGTTCCTTAGAAGTCATCTGATCTCATGGTACAACAAGAAGCAACCCACAATTGCACTTTCTACAACAGAGGTAGAATACATTGATGTTGCTGGATGTAGCACGCAGATGCTCTGGATGAAAAGTCAGTTAGAAGACTATCAGATCTTTGAGAGTAATGTATCTATCTTCTGTGATAATACCTCTTCTATATGTTTGTCTAAAAATCCAATTTTACACTCTAAGGAAAAACATATAGAAATTAAGCATCATTTCATCAGAGACTATGTTCAGAAGGGTATTATAAACTTAGCCTTTGTTGATTCAGATCATCAATGGGCTGATATTTTTACAAAACCCCTTGCTGAAGATAGGTTCAAGTTTATTCTGAAAAATATTGGTATGGATTTTTGTCCAGAATAATATTTATCAGAGGCAAACTTCTCAGATGCAAAATGTTTAATGCTCTGAAGTATTTCATCTGTCAATTTATTCATTTTCTTGAATTATTTTATTTGTGTAAATCTGAACTAACAATGCTCAGAGGATCTGAACATTGACTAACGTTTCATTTCTCAAGAGATTTCAGAAGCACATGCAAGCAAACACGTGTTGCTCAGAAACTGGAAAGGTAGAGTGCACTTTACTGAATTAACATTTGAGGTACTGCTTTGAAAATCTGATTTTTCTTGATTTTCCCCCCATCTGTCAGAATCATAAATGTTGTGCAATGGTGTCTTTTTTTTTTTTTTTACTTTTTCATTTAATGATATGTGAAGCGTGCTTATGTGACTGTTTGTGTGCCTGATTTTATCTATAAATACCACAAATCACACCATTTCACACTTTTCACCTCACGAACCTTTTATGCATTTCTGTCTTCTCTTTGCTCTTCATCTAAACCCTAAACCTAAAACCTCTCACTCAAGAACAACAATGGCATCTTCTTCATCAACATCTGCTCAGATGCAATCAACCACTGCTGTTTCTTCTCCTAATGCTGAAGCGTACAAGGAACCTGTGAGAACCCTTCTCACTCCAACTGTTGATCTGGAAGTTCTGAGTGAATGTTTTGTAGATTTTGATTCCATTGAAGAAAATGGGTTTAATCTTTCTTCAACCATTCAAACTTAGAGTTGGACAAAGTATTTTGACAGGCTTATGGGTCCTGTTTATCCAACTTTGGTGAAAGAATTCTGGATACATGCTCAGGTGTGCCCTAAATTTATCCATTCTTCTGTCCTTGGAAAGGAGATTGTGATTACTGAGAAGCTGATCAGACAACTTATTGGGTACTCTGAAACTGATGGTGAAACCAGTCTACAATCTGCTCGTGTGGATCTTGCTGATGTGTTTCAAGAAGTTAGTATTTCTGGGGAACCAACTAGCAAAGTAATGGAACTGAAGCCAGTCTACAAGATCTGGGCCAAGATTTTCATGAGTTCCATCTTTCACAGAAAATCATCAAATTCTCCAGATTATGTCAGTGCTGAACAACTCTACTTCATGTTCTGTATGAGCAAGGGAAAAAAGGTGGACTTGCCTTATCTTCTGTTTAGTCATCTTCTGAATCATATAAAGGAAATAAGATAAGAAGTAAGAGTCAAAACTGGAAAAGTTAGGAATTGGATTCCTATGGGAAGACTGATATCAGATATTCTGACTGAGAATCATCTGGTAGAACATCTGTATGCAGCTGAATTGATAGAGGATTTGTCATATGTCATAAGTTCTGTCATCAATGGCAATACTCTGAAGAGGATGAAGGTCATCACAGAGCTTGCCAGCAAACCTAAGAAAATTGCTACTAAGGATGTCAGCAACAGAAGGATTCCTGTTGAGGATTTTCCTATGTTCAGTGCTGATGAACCTAGGCACATAATTCTAAAATACATTGTTGAATGTTTAAGAGAGGGTATTCCTCTTCCTGCTAATATAGTGTAGAAGGAAGGCGAAGTTCTGCCTAATCTTCTTAGAGAAAGGCGTTCAAAGAAGATTGCTGAAGAAGGATCTGAGGCTTAGCCTAAGAGAAAAGCCTCTGAAGCTGCTGCTAAGCCTCAGAAGGTAAAGAAAGTGAAACCAACTCCTTTAGAAGCAAGTCTGAAAGATATTAGAGAAACTATCAAACAGGTATTAACATCTGATCAAATACCAACCATTCACTCTCCATTACCTTCACCTACTCCATCACCTTCTAGACCACAATCATCTGTACCACCATCATCTGGAATACATTCATCTGAACCCTCTCCATCTCAACCTACACATTCTCAACCATCTTCTGTACAAACTCCATTTGAACCACCTCAACCAGAACCTCAATCACAACGACAACCACAACTAGAACAACAACAACAACCACCAGAACATCAATCTCAACCTATTTCATTTGAACCTCCCAAATCAACACCATCTGAACAACCCTCAATAATAGAACAATTGTTACCTGTTCCAGAACCCTCTATTTTTCAATCATCCAATGACATTCTTGATTTGGAACCACTTGCAACCATGGTTGTCTTGTCATCCACTTTATGCCACTCCACTGAATCATCTGATTCTGAATCAGAAGTTCACTCACCCTCTTGTTTACACATTCCTGATCCATTCAAACCTACATTTTCTGACCTATCAGCATCTGACCAAATAAATCGTAGACTTTCACTTCGCTCAAAATTCAACCTCTCAGATTTTCAACCTTCATCATCTGAAGCTGAAATTTCAACAACCCCTACACCTCAACTCACAATACCACACCCATCTGAACCTCAACCATCTGCACCTCAA